ACGGCACCCGAGCCTCCTAGACCATGCCTAGACCATGAACGGGTCCCTTTTCAACCAGACCCTCCTAGAGCAGGCAGCTCACCCCAACAGGACCCAGGGCTGGCCTCGGGGCTGCCCCCCGACGAGAGGAGCCTGTACATCACCCGGGTGGTGCAGATCGCCGTCCTCTGCGTCCTCTCCTTGACTGTCATCTTCGGCATCTTCTTCTTGGGCTGCAACTTGCTCATCAAGTCGGAGAGCATGATTAATTTCCTGGTGAAGGACCGAAGACCTTCCAAGGATGTGGGAGCTGCAATCATGGGACTTTACTGATGCCCCCCGACGAGAGGAGCCTGTACATCACCCGGGTGGTGCAGATCGCCGTCCTCTGCGTCCTCTCCTTGACTGTCATCTTCGGCATCTTCTTCTTGGGCTGCAACTTGCTCATCAAGTCGGAGAGCATGATTAATTTCCTGGTGAAGGACCGAAGACCTTCCAAGGATGTGGGAGCTGCAATCATGGGACTTTACTGAAGCCACCAGGCTTCTGTAGGCAAGTGAACTGGCTGGACCTGGTGCTGAGAGGCACATTCCCATGCATTTGGGGCAGCCGGGGGGGGACTGGAAAGGGTGGGTGGAAGGGTCTTTTAATCTTCTGTGTCCATGGGAAAGCAAACCTGCACTTCCCAGTCAACAAAGTGTCGTGGCGAATGGGGAAGCCTCCCCAGAGTTGTATGAAGCACAATAAATGACCAGCATCATGTTGCATGCAGAAAAGGCTTAAGTTTTGCATGAAACTTGCAGAAGCAGTGCTAATGTGCAGGTCTGGACTCCGTTCTGCTGTTACCGTGGATACCGCTCCCGGGGAGTTAGGGCTAAAGAAAAAACAGCAAACAACTCACTACGAAAAGAAAACAAACAAACAAACAAAAAAAAACAAACTAAAAGGAAAGCAAAATGCATGGCATGGATCACAGCTTTGACCGTGGGGCAGGGGAAGTGCTCTGTGGGTCGTGCAGCAAAGTCTTTATGCCACAAAATGTGTCAGTCTGTGTTTCGGACCTCAAGCATGCAGCCCTTGGCAGAGTTTTGTAACAGGGAAAGCATGTTCTTCCTTATTTTTCTGAGCTATCCTGTGGAATAAACTGGTATTTTCTTCTTTCACGCTATGCTGAAGGAAGAAAAGGACTCAGCTAAATCTAAAACCCAGCCCCAAAACTAAAGCATGCTTCGTTTTGTACACGACAGCCTCTTTTCCAAGTGCTCTGTTGTTACCGTCCTTGAGGTTTTTGTAGTTTTTGGAAAACTGGTGAACATTCAGGAAAAAAAAAAGAAATGTTTCAAAATAATTTTGTGTTGTCTTCATTTTCTTTCTCTGTGTGTGTGGAGTTGAGGGATTTCAAACCTAGTTCCAGGTATAATCGTCTCACCTTCGATCCAACTCTAGTTAGAGATTTTTCTTTAGAGCAGAAATTACCATTCGTTTTTCACAGGCAAGTCTCAGTTGCCACTAGCAAATAAATTTGTCAGGAGCTACGTACTCCAGGCTTGTGCTCAATACCTGCACAGCTCTGAGGCAGAGACTCGTAAAGATGCAACTGAGTGCCTCTTGCAAAGCAAGATTTCAGCCTCTGAGTGAAAATCTCCAGCTTCTCTGATCCTGATGAGCTGTCAAAACTAAATTATGGGAGAGGAGGAGGACTCCTGACCTTTGTTCTGTGATGGAATTACAGCTCTGTCTGTGGGTGTGAGATGGAAATAATTTGAGTTTTGTTGCACCAACTTGCTGGGTGCACTTCTGTGCTGGGAAGGCAATCCTGGATGCTGGAGGAGCTGATGAGCTGATCTGCTTGGATGTAAATCCAGAAGAACAGCTCTCTGCTTTTCCCAGGAGGAGGAACAAGATTAGAGGATGTTCTGTAATGAATCAATATTTGCTGAGCACCTTCTTCACAGTTCCCATGGGATACTGGTGGGCTAAACCCAGTGCAGAGCAGGATTAACACAGCACGGTCACTGGTGCTCCCACCAGCGCCATCAAAGCACGAAGACTTTGTGGTAGCAGGACCAAAATTTGGGGTTCAAAGCTCCAATATATCCTATTTGTGCCAGTGAAATGGCTGAAGAGGCAGGGCTCTGGTTTTTCAGAGCAGCTTGCAGGTCTGCATACCTGAGCAGCCTTCTCAGCAGGAGGGTTTGCTGCCCTGCTGGCAGAGGTAGAAGTGACTTCATGCAGCAGGAGGATTTTGGTCCCTGCTGGAGGGGCTGTTGTGGCTGTTGGTCTCTTTACATGAGTCCAAACTGTTCCCACTGCAGGAGCACATCCTGGTCACACCATCAGGGCGTAGTGACCCAGCTCTGCACACAGTTGGGAGTGTTCTTGTGTGTATAAGCTAAAGGTGTCACTGAGCCTTCAGGTCACTGGGCTGTCAGAGGACAGCCCAGATGTACTCTCAAAAGTCCCACCCAGCTTCTGCTTTCAGCTGGCATTTGGTCCCTCTTGCCAACCCATCCACCAGCCATGGCCCCAGCACAAGGGAGAATTCAGAGGTGATGGAGGAAACCTTCCAGTATTAACAATGCAAGCAAGGAGCAGAAGTTGCTAATGCAAAGAAAGCATCAAAATCACCTTAACTCTGACCTGCAGCAGTGCCCTGAGGGAAGAAGTTGGTCAAATTATCTCAGCTGTCCCTAGCTGCCTTGCTCTGCCAGGAGCTGTGAGGGCTGGGGTGTGTGTTGATGGGTCCTGCTGCCCAGGGGGAAGCAGCTCTGCAATCCCACAGAGCCACCAGCTCACCGAGTGTCCCCAGAGGCCACATCCAGAGGTGGGTTGTGGGGCTCTTTGTCCCTTTTGTGCTGTGGAGTCCTCTAGGGGAGAGGAGAAAAGTCAGTGACAGTAGGGTGATGAATCCAGGAGGTGGAGGAGCAAAGTAACACCCCAGGAAGCAGAGCTGGGTTCCTGCTGGGACACATGGAGCTCGCTCAGGAGTCAGTTAAGAGAGGGAAGATTTTTCTCGTGGCTCCTTGGGGCAAGAACCCAACTTTCCATCGAGTTATTCATCCTCTAGTCACACTGTGCCTCTTTCCTGGCCGTTAGGGCTGTGTCCACGTTGCCAGGTTGTGTGGACCAGCAGAAGAGGGTCTGCAGAGAGAAGCAGTTGGTGGGCACCAGCCACTTTTGCCATACCACACAGCACGTGTCCCCATCGGGTTACTGGCTTCTGGCTTGCAATGGGTTTAAGACACATGCACACAAGTTCCCCACCTCATTAGATTCCCAGTAAAAGGTTGATTACCCCACTGAGAGGGGGAATTGTTTTGTGAAAAGATCTCTGGAGGATCGATGCCAGCACTGAGACAGCAAGGGGAGACCAGAAGGAAGGCAGTGGGGGGCTGGCATGCTGAGGGAACCTCTTGGCTTAGAGATCTGTGGTCTGAAGACCCTCCTGAGGTGAAGTCATGGTTGCTGTTCTAACTGCCCTGACTCCTTCCCCATCCTGTTCACATGGAGCAGATGCCAGAGCAGGTGATGCCTGGTGGAAGGGAGGGTGCTGAGGGCACCATGCTGCTTCCCAGACCTCAGGAGAAGAGCTTCCACCTCAGACCCTGGAAGCCCAGCTGCCTTGCCCCAGAGGCACGAGTCCTGCAGCCAGAGGATGAGGTGGTTCCTCCAGGGCTTGTGTGAGGAAACCAGACCATAATGGCTCTTTCTGCTGCCTCTCCCCACAAAGAGCTGTGTTTTCATCTCACGCCTACTCACCCAGCTTAAGCTTGCAAGTGGGTACTGGCTCCCAAGAAAATTTAAACAGCTTTTTTTCCTGAGCGAGGCTGGTTTAATGTTACTTTGATTTATTTTTTTCATTGTTGGTTGTAGCATGTTAGCTCCCAGAACGTCTCTGGGGTGCCAGGAGCTGTACAAGTGTGCCTGAGAGACACTGCTGGCTGTAAAGTACAGCAGAGAGATGGGGAGAAGGGACCTGCTTGGGTGCATCAGCACAGCAGTAGCAGAGGGATGACCAGCACTGAGTCTCATTTAAAACTATCATCTGGCAGTAGAATACAAGATACCAATCTAATCCTGTGGGACTGGCCACACTGGTCTGAGCCACTGGTCCATCTAGCTGGCATCCCTTCTCTGGAATTAATCATGATGGTAGGCAGTACATGGTCAGTCAAGTTATTCTACTGATGGGGAACTGCTTCTTGACCAAGAGCAACCTGCACCAGACCTTCACAATCCTTCAGAAGAGCTCCCTGTGCCTGGGCTGATCCCCACCATTCTGCTCCAGCTGGAACTTCTGATTTCTAGGCAGGCAACAGGGGAAGAGCAGAGAGAGGAGGTGTGAGGGCAATGCCCCTGCTGAGCTGCCTGCCTGCAAAGAGAAATGCTTGACCTCTGGAATCACTGATTTTACAGCTGGAGAAATAAAGGTGTGGCTTGACCCACCCGAGAAATCCCAACAACCCTGCCCCCAGTCCTGCCTGCAGTGGGGAAAACCCCAAACCAAGTCCCAGATGGTGCCCACCTCCTTCTCCCTGCCCTGGCAGTCTTGGCTGAGGGCGGTGAAAGAGTTAAATAAGATGAGACAGACAAACAGATCAGGGTGGAGGGAGGATCCCAACCTGAGCTTGGCACCAGATGTACTGGAGCCCGTGCACCAAACATACACAGTATTTAATAATTCCTGAGAATTGCCATGGTAATGAAGCTCAGAGTCAGGTTGTTATGGTAACAGCCTTTTTTTTTTAAGCAGGGAGGCATTACCCAGGTTGTAACCTCAATCCAGACTCAACACGTTTCTGAGAGCCCCCAAAATAAAAAAAAAGAAGTAAAATAAAATCCAATTAGATAAGTAGCAGTTTCCTGTCTCTCGTCTGGCAGTTTGGGGCTTGTTCTGTAGGCAGGTGGAGGGAACCAGGTTGTTGGAGACACACGTTGCCCTGCCCCCCAGGGCTGGGCTGGATCTCTGCAGGTCTGAAACCCTGATGGGGGTGAAGGGCTGGACACCTCTCACGGGTGGGTTTGGGATGCTCTGGTTCCCCCACGTGGCGTGTCCCCAGCAGGGGAGGGGAGGGACACGTGTCTCTCCAGGAGACACACCCGAGAGCAGCCGTGGGGAAACCCTCACCCCAGCTGAGCCCACAGAAGGGGCTGTGCTCCCAGCACCCAGCCTGCCTCTGGCTCCCTGCATCCCAGGCCACGGAGGTCCCAAAGCTGGTCTCCAAGATGAGGCAGCAATTTGGGGGCTGGAAAGGAGGGAAGAGACCACTTTTCCTCATGCCAGGCAGAAGAAGAAAACACAGGTTTCCTGAGCTCTGGCAAGGTCTCCAGGCTGCCGTGCTCCCTGGAGGGGCACCCATCGAGCAGAGTGGAAACCTGCCTCTCACTTGCCCTCCCATCAGTGGCCAAAACCTCTCTGCCACCTCCCCTCCCAAGCCAAGTGTGTCAGGTTTGTCCAGCTGATGCTCACACTGAATTTTAACCCAGTGCTGGTTGAACCAGCAGCTCCCTGAGCCCGTGTTCCATGGAGGCT